TACTTTACTCAGGGAACGAAGGCAGGCAACTGGCCCTGTGACTGCAGCCAACAGCTTTAAGAACACAGTTCTTCCTGCTTCAAGGCAGAGAAGAAACAGTTGTTTTTGCCTCTTTCTTCTTTGCGATTATTATCCAAGGGGCTTTTCCCGACCCCAAACCCCAGCACCATCCTCAGTGTTTCAGATCATCCACTGGCGGTGCTCAAAGGGGGGCCCCAGACAGGCCGGTCTGGGGCCAAAGAAGGTGGCTCCCCCTGCGCGGAATCCTTCCTGGTGGCTCCCAAATCAGGCGTTTTCTCTGCCTGCCTTTCCCTCGGGGGAGACTCGAGAGGCTGCAAAAATCTGGGCGCCCGTTCGCTCGCTTGTCAAGAAGCAAACTGTCTTCACATTCTCCAAGAGCAACATCCCTGCCTAGGAAAAGGAAAGAAGAGGCAAAATAAATAAAACCAGTTAATGTTGTAGTTAACTTGCAAATCAAGTAAATCTGTTGGTGCCGTATTTGAGAAATAAACCATCAGAGCGTCACAGCAAACACACACTTCTGAACGTCTTCATTTTGATTTAATGGTATATCAGCGTCAACTATCGCTTCCTCTGCTGGTACACACGGCCTGATGCCGCGGGAGGAGGGTGCCCATGTTTATCACCGAGTGAGATGACTAATTACACCTTGTCAATCACCGGCTATGAAGACATAAAACCAGCGCGCACAATGAAGTAGTTGCCTGCAGCGTCAATTAGTTGGCGATTCGGAGGTTATTGCGTGGCCCTGCTTTGGCCGCCTCTAATAACAGGACAGAGCGCCGGGAACAGCGCGCTGATCAATCACCCTCCTTCCGCTGCTGCCCGGCTCCCGCCCCCTCTTCCCCCCGCCAAGCCCGGCCTCACTTTCTCTGGGCGGCATGTGCTTCCTCCCTCCGCGGCCCCGGCTCCGTGGCGCCGGCAGCCCTGGGAGCCCAGGGAAGTTTGCGCGCCGCAGCTCCGCAGCCGGCAGCCGGGAGTCCCGCAGCCTTCGGGGAGCGCTGGGGCTGGTGGCCCCTTTGTTGGAAGAGGCGTGGAGGGAGCGCTTTTGTTCTGAGTTAGTCACGGTGGCCGGCTGGAGGCTGCTACCTCATTATGCGCCGGGTCTGCCTGTCTGCGAGGAAGCAGATGGTGGGGAGGTAGGCAGCGGCGAGAGTAGCCAGACCTGAATTCCGTTCACCTGTCACCTCCCACAAAAGGCAGGTTCAGGGGACTTAGGGAGTCTCGTCCCCTATCTGGGGGGAGGGGCGTCGAAGGGCTGCCGTTTTCAGCGCCTCCGAAGGTTCCATTTACCTGCAGATGCCTGCTCCCCCCACCCCCTGCCATCCCCTCGGCTGAGGCTTCTCGCACCGTGTAAATGTCACTCACGTGTCAGGATGTGTGTTTACAGCCTGTTCCTCTCCTTGTTTAGTCTCCGCGGACAGAGCTCAGCGGTTATGCGAGGTGCCCCTGACGCTGGGGGAGAGCAGCAAAGTTACGGGCCTCTGAACCCTGGGCGGGAGCCCCCAGATCCCGCCCCGCGGCGGCAAATGGGTTGGAGTCTTTTGCAGACTCGAGCGAGTCCCAGTCTGACACAGAGGAATAAATAGGCGGGCGCACTCGGCGGGAATCCTGACTACCAGGGAATTTGGGGTCGGTCAGGGATGGGTGTCGGCTACCGGTCAGAGAGGTGGTGAAGAAAGCTTGTGCTTACAGATATGGGGGAAGTGTGGAGCCGCAGGGCGTTTTTCCACGTTTCTTGGGAAGCCCGCGGCAAGAGTTACCGGGTGCTCCTCCCCCCGCCCGGCAGCTCCTAAGGCAGTCCCTCGAGTTCTCGAAAACGTATTGCATCCATCCAGCCTGGGCGCAGAGCTGCACCAAGGACAAACACTCCAGGTTGTTACAATTTTTTCCTACCCGTTGGGCGACCTCCAGATGAACCCCGGTGACTCTCAGATTAGATTTTCATTCCCTACTTTCTTTGAAAGTGCCCCAGATGCGTCAGTGAAACATACTTGTGTAGGCGTCCGCATGCCTGGGCGCCGGCCCGTGTACAGGCGCCAGAGCACACGTCTGTGTGAATACGCGCGCACGCGCGTCTTTGGGTTTATGGTCCTTCCCTCGCTTTGGAGCATCTGTGCATGTGCCGCGTGTACACACATACTTGTAACTTCAAGAGTTTTTGAAAATACGCAACACATGGCCTGGTAGAATCACACGCAGGGATTTAAGGAGAATTGCCTGAGCATGCAATTGTACATATAACTGCAATTTTCCAATTTATAGACGCATCCTCCTGCCTGGCGTTGTACACTTATACTTGATGTGCACGTGCTAGCTCTACATTTCTGCTGGTTCTGTTTTTGCCAACAGAAACAAACGTGTGCATTTGCACACATGAACATGCATGTACTTGGGCATTACAAGCACACATATATTTATGTCTGAAATTTACAGTATGTGGAAAGTATGAGTTTATGCTGCCCCAATCCTGTGCCCTGTAAGATAAACTGCGCAGATCCTGGCTAACCTCTTGCCTCTTGTTGGCAAGGGTGTCACTTCACACTGACCTACTTCCAAAGCAGAGCCAGGGGATGGGGTTCTGTAACTGACTAGCTGATTCAGTTTTTGTCTACAATCACTTTTTATTTCCTAAATCCAGCTTCACTACACACTTGGGTATCACCCCCAAGAGAGTGTTAGTTGAGCCTGAAGTCTGGGGACTGGGACGGCAGTTGGGATTTAAGGGGCAGGCCAGGTTGTTGGTCCTCGGAGAAGTGGCGGCAGGATGTTTGCCCTTCAGTAACGGTCTGTGGTGGGATGCACCCAGTGGACAGAGAATGGGACTGTGGTCTTTAAGAACTTCACTGATGCCTAATATATCTCATAGTGGGAAAGTTTTAAAAGGGAGGAGATGAGAGAGAAAAGGGAGTGATGAAAGAATTTGTGTAGTGCCTACTACGTTCCAGGCATTTTACATCCGTGATCTATTTTCACTCATCACATCCATGTGGAGACGGCTTTCTTGTGCCACATTTAAAAGATCAGAAACAGGCTTAGGGAAGTTGTCACTTGCCTAAGGTTACATTGCAAGTAAAGGCAGAATTAGGATCTGTACCCATGCCTTTCCTAGTTCCTAAAGCCAGGAACAGCGAGAAGGAGCTACGCATTGGGTCATTAATTGGGCCCTAGCTCACTTGAAGCTAGGATAAGCCAACTGGCCCCACTCTCCGGGAGCCACAGCTCCCGCCGGTTCTAGCTTCTCTAGTTCAGCCGGGTCCGCGGGAGGCCTGCGCGGCAGCCCGCAGCCCGCGGCGCGGAGCCTAGGCCGAAGGCAGAACTCAGCAGGAAGCGGCCGAAGGCTCCCACAGCTCTGCCCCGGGCCTGCCTTCCCAACCGGTGCCCGAGGGGCGGCTCTGGGCCAAGAGGAGACCGGAGTGAGACCTTCTCAAGCATCCTCTAGCGGCTGCGCCTTCTTAGGGTGGAGAAAAGGTCTAATTTTCCTTCCCGAAAAAAATCACAGGAAACTGTTCGTAGCTTAAAACTCCAAACCCCGCGCTCTCCCTCCTCCCTCCCTTCCACCCGCCCCCGCCCTCCAGCCTCGCCCACCAGCTCCCACCATCTCGTCGCTCCTCTCCTCCTCTTGCTGCTCCCCTCCCTCTCGGGTCTCCCGCCTTCCCGGAGCACGCGCTGCCAGGGCCGGGGTGCCGGGCGGCCAATGGCGCGGCGGCAGGACGTGATGTCAGGCGCGGCTGTAGAA